AGAGTACTCAGATTACAGGTGTGAGCCACCATGCCTGGTCCTCATTCTAATTTAGGTTAAATTTAGATGATCACTGGAAACAATACAATGACCAGAGAATGCACTGGTTTGAGAAACACTGCCTTAAAAATTAAACGCATTAGGGACGCAAGCAGGAACTCATGCCTATAATTCTAGCATTCTGGGAGGCCGAAGTGGGTAGATCACTTGAGCTCAGAAGTTCAAGACCAGCCTGAGCAAGAGTGAGACATCCTTCTCTAAAAAAAAATAGTTGGGCGTTGTGGTGGGCCCCTGTAGTCTCAGCTACTTGGGAAGCTGAGGCAAGAGAATCACTTAAGCCTAAGAGTTTGAGGTTGCTGTGAGCTATGATGCCATAGCACTCTTCTGAGGGCAACAAAGTAAAACTCTGTCTAAAAAAAAAAAAAAAAATTAAATGCATTAGAGCAAACAATCCCACCTATCACTGGGCAAGAGACATGAACAGAACCTCATGAACAGAACCTTCTCTGAAGAAGACAAATGAATGGCTAACAAACATATGAAAAAATGTTCATTGTCCCTAATCATCAAAGAAATATAAAACCAAAACCATCCTGAGATGTCACCTAATCCCAGTAAGATTATCCCACAGCACAAAGTCCCAAAGTTGCAGATGCTAACGTGGATGTGGAGAGAGAGGAACACTCTTGAACCACTAGTGGGACTGCAAACTAACACAAGCCTCTCTTTGGACAAAAGTATGGAGAATCCTCAAATAATTCAAAAGAGACCTCCCATTTGATCCTGCAGTCCCATTACTAGGCATCTACCCAGAGGAAAAAAAATTATTTTGTCATAAAGACATTTGCACTAGATTGGGTTTTGGGGGGAGTTTTGAGACAGAGTCTCAATATGTTGCCCTCAGCAGAGTGCCGTGTTGTCACAGCTCACAACAACCTCAAACTCTTGGACTTAAGTGATTCTCTTGCCTCAGCCTCCCATGTAGCTGGGACTACAGGTGCCTGCCATAACACCGGGCTATTTTTTTGTTGCAGTTGTCATTGTTTACCAGGCCCAGGCTGGGTTCAAACCCGCCCTAACCACTAAGCTATGGGTGTGCACTAGATTGTTTATCACATCTCAATTTACAATTGCCAAGATGTGCAAACAACCTAAATGCCCATCAACTCAGGAATGGATTAACAAACTGTGATACATATATGCCATAGAATACTAATCAGCCATAAAAAAGATGGTGAGTTTACATCTTTTTTATTAACCTGGATGGAGTTGAAACACATTCTTCTTAGTAAAAGTATCACAAGAATGGAAAAGCAAAGATCCAACGTACTCAATACTAATACGAGAAAAACTCATTTTAATTCAAGTTGGGGGGAGGGGGATGAGAGAGAGGAGGAGAGGAGGGGGTGTTCCCACTTAATGTAGGGGTGTATGGCACACTTTTTAGGCGTGGGATGCAACTACAAGAGGGACTCTACCTAACAAATTCAAATATTGTGATCTAGTTGTTTGTCCTCTCACATTAACCTGAAATTTTAAAAAAGAGTAAATATATTAAGTTCTCAAGCAGATAAAAATTAAATGCATTACATGTTAAATTTAGATGATCACTGGAAACAATACAATGACAAATATAGAGAAGCAGGCACTTTCAAAAGAGAAAGACCAAGACTTAGTCATCTAGTAATCCAAAGTAATTTCTTTAGACTTTATCAAAAAAAAAACTTAACATTCTTACAGACTGCCAAGAATACACACAAGCATTGAAATTTTAAGAAATCTAATGTAAGAGTTCAAATAAAGCTAAGATGGTAACCTTCTAACTTTGTACACTCACTTGAAATTTACAATTTAACATATTCAATTTGGGGGGCAGGGGAGTGGGAAGAAAACAGAGTCTCATTCTGCTGCCCAGGCTAGAGTGTCATAGCATCCACCTAGCTCACAGCAACCTGAACTCCTGGATTCAAGTGATCCTCCTGCCTTGGCATCCCAAGTAGCTGGGACTATAGGTGCACACCCTCATGCCTGGCTAATTTTTCTATTTTCAGTAGAGATAGGGTCATGCTCTTGCTCAGGCTGGTCTTAAACTCCTGGTCTCAAGTGATCCACTTGCCTTGGCCTCCCAGAGTACTCAGATTACAGGTGTGAGCCACCATGCCTGGTCCTTATTCTAATTTTCTTATTACAAGAAAGATTACTTTGGTTTGGCACCTGTGGCTCAAGTGGCTAAGGCACCAGCCACATACACCTAAGGTGGCGGGTTCAAATCCAGCCCAGGCTTGCCAAACAACAATGACAATGACGGCTGCAACCAAAAAATAGCCAGGCGCTGTGGCGGGCACCTGTGGTCCCAGCTACTTGGGAGGCTGAGGCAAGAGACTCGCTTGAGCCCAGGAGTTGGAGGTTGCTGTGAGCTGTGATGCCACAGCGCTCTACTCAGGGGGATAGCTTGAGGCTCTGTCTCAAAAAAAATAAAAAAGAAAGATTACTTTGAAATTACAATACCGTAAGGCATGCCAACAAAAAAGTTACCAAGCCTTACATACTGCACCACTGCAATGGAGCTATTCCCCTATTAAAAGTATATTTACTCTGGGCAATGCCTGTGGCTCAAAGGAGTAGGGCACCGGCCCCATATACCAGAGGTGGCAGGTTCAAAACCAGCCCTGACCAAAAACTAAAAAAAAAAAAGTATATTCATTTTCATTAAGTTATATTGAGGAGAGAACCTGAATTTTTAACATTTTATATTAGTATATATAAGACTTAATTTTTAAAAAAATCCCTAAACTGTCCCACTGGACAGTATTTATGGGGCTCTAATAATTAAAAACAGAGACTACATGATATTTTAATATTCCATGTGTCACCTCACAACTTACCCTCACCCCCATCACAAGATTTTCCACCATGTCTTAGGGGAAAAAGTTGTTTCTGAAACTACAGCTACCAGATATATATCCCTAAACCATGCCTCTGAAGCATTCTGGCGAGAAATACAAATGTTTTTTCAATGATTAAATGACCAAAACAATTATGCTACTTAAGTACTTTTTTTTTTTGAGACAGAGTCTCACTATGTCACCCTTGGTAGACTGCTGTGATGTCACAGCTCACAGCAACCTCCAACTTTTGGAGTTAAGCGATTCTTTTGCCTCAGCCTCCCATGTAGCTGAGACTACAGACACCCGCCACAACACCCATCTGTTTTTTTGTTGTAGTTTAGCTGGCCCCGGCCAGGTTCAAACTCGGCTGGTGCAGTAACCACTGTGCTATGGGCGCAGAGCCTTTTTTTTTTGAGACACAGTCACACTATGTCACCCTCGGTAGAGTGCTGTGACATCACAGCTCACAGCAACCTCAAACTCTTGGGCTTAAACGATTCTCTTGCCTCGCCTCCCAAGTACCTGGGACTACAGGCTCCCGCCACAACGCCAGGCTATTTTTTTGTTGCAGTTGTCATTGTTGTTTAGCTGGACCGGGCTGGGTTCAACCCCACCATCCTGGGTGTATGCAGCCTACGCCATAACCACTGTGCTACGGGTGCCGAGCCGACTTCAGTACTGTAGTGAATACTTAATTTCTGTACTTCAATAACAGGAATAACTTCATGAACCAGAAAAATTCTCATTACACTTTACTAGTGATGAAAAGGACTTTAGAAAATGGACCAAAGCTTTTCCCGACAGACTTACAAACAACTCAGTTCCTAACAAGGAAGTGTTGCTGAGAAAATATAAGTACACAATACTATAGTCGAAGAATATAGGGCCAGACAGACCCTGTGGGCATGTAAGAAAACATTATCCCAGTTCACAATGTTTTGCATCTGAAAACTAAAAAAAGAGAAAAAAATGTAAACACAGGATCGTGTCTTGGCGTGAAATTAAAATGTAAACACAGGATCGTGTCTTGGCGTGAAATTAAAATGGGACTACTTAACAAGATATTGCTCAATCATTATAAATTCTTATTAGTAAATTTTCCCAAACTACGTATCAGGCCCTGGTTTGCAGATTTCCTCATTTCTCAATAAAGCCTTCAATATCTTGATTTCACAATATAGCATTTGCAAGAAAAGAAATCCTTTCTCACTCAAATCCTACATATTCATTAAAATGAGGCAGGGTTGTCCAGGTTAATCTAAGAAATGGGAAAGGGGAACTATGTCCCCAAACTCCTCTCCCCCTTCCAAGTTCCTCAGGGGCCCAACGCCCCAGCGTTTTTGTTTTGTTTTTTTAAGAGAGGGGGTCTGCCTCTGTCACCCAGGCTGAAATGCAGTGGCGCGATGATGGCTCACTGTCAACCTGAGCTCAAGCGTTCCTCCCGCTGGGATTACAAGTGTGAGTGAGACTGCCCCCAGCCGGCCCAGACTATTCACCAAGCACCAGAACCCACCAGACCTCAGAGATGCGCCAGTACCTGAAGACAGATCTTTTCCCTTCACTTCCCCTCTCAGAAATATTCCATCGACTTAGTCTGATCACTGAGTCACTACCCCTGCCCACCATGGTCTTTAACACTGACCTCACTCGTTCTGGCTCTGCTACATCTCTGACCCTAAATTCCCCACCTCAGGATCCTCTCTAGACACCACACGCCTTAATCCCGGCCATTTCCTCGGCCCCTGTCTCCTCTACCCTCTCTTCTAGAGCCTCCTAACTTCCCACTGTAAGAAATTCTGGAGACCCCTGCCAGCGCCATTCCTCGTGGCTGCCCATTCTTGCAGGCTTTCTAGATGCCACTCCTGCGTCCTCGCCCACCTACACGTTCTGGTTCCTGTATCACCTCCTCAGGACCCTCGGAAAGCCTACCACCTGGGACCCCTTCAGACACCATACTCTCCTCGGGCCCTCGGAGACCCTGCCCCAGCTACACGTCGCTACCTGCTCAGGACACTCGGAAGCGCCCTTTCCCAGGCCCGGTCCGTCTCCTGGACGGGGTCCCAGCCCTCCCCTCCTTCTGGAGCACCCGCCCTGCCGGAGCGCCCCCTTTACCAGTGGAGATGGTGGCGGACGCAAGCAGGAGCGCCAGGAGTAGCGGCTGCGCCAGCCCCGCAGGCACCTGGATGCCCGATTCCGGGAGCACCTTCGCTTGCGCAGAGCCCCTCATCCTTCCCAGGACGTCTGCAGCCATAACGGACTCGGTCTGGAGCCTGCGCCGTTGCTAGGGTTTACGTCATGACGTCAGACGCTGCGTAGAGCCCCTCGGCCCTAGCACCTACGTCCCAGCGTGATGACGTCGCAGCTGGCGCGAGGCTCTGGAGAATGGACTAAGGAATAAGAATAGTGGGAGTTGCCGTAAGGGGTGTGTGGAGAGCGCGGCGGGGTGTCGGTGCTGGTCGAGGGTGTGGGATGTAGGGAGCTGGAAAGGGCCAGATTGAGCCCTTCCCGTCTCCCACGGGATGGGACACTATACAGCCAAAAAAACTATGTTTAGACAGTTTTAAAAGGAAGATCCAACTGTGTATAGTAGACTAATGACAAAAGCTAACTGTCCTTCCGTTCTCCAATGGCAAAAGAAACAAATGTGGGTCGTATCTGGGTGGTGAAATTGTAAGTAATTCGTTATCTTTCCCTACAATGATTATTTCAGCAAATATTTAGCACCTCTCTACGTTACAGTAGTTAATTGGCCTGCGTCTGTGGCTCAGTGAGTAGGGCGCCGGCCCCATATACCGAGGGTGGCGGGTTCGAACCGGGTCCCAGCCAAACTGCAACAACAACAAAAATAGCCGGGCGTTGTGGCGGGCGCCTGTAGTCCCAGCTACTCGGGGGGCTGAGGCAGGAGACTCGGCTAAGCCCGGAGTTGGAGGTTGCTGAGAGCTGTGTGACGCCGCCACGGCACTCTACGGAGGGCAATAAAGGGACTCTGTCTCAAAAAAAAAAAAAGAAAAAAAAAGTAGTTAAGAAAAGGAACCCCTCTGCCTTCGTAGAGTTCATTTTAAGGAAGACTATGGTGTAAAATATACAGCACATAAGCTGGTATGCATGACGGAGGAAAAGCGGGGGGAGTGGCCACTGTCAATAGCTTCCAGATTTCTTCAAGTAAGCGTCTATTACTTTTTAAATTTTGTAACCTAAAACCCCTAATATATGATAATACAAATTTAGAAACTTCCAGGAAGTTCACTTAGGGCCCTGGCACTGTGCTTTGGTCTGTCTGTAAGTTCTGAAAATGTTTCCTTAATAAACAGCTATAGGCTTCAACTCAGTAAGTTTCATTTGCTCGATTTTCAGGAAAATCACTGTGGCATAAAGAGAGCCATTGCACCCATAGCTTCACCACTCTGAGGGGCGTGTATAATTCCCTCCTAGAAGAGATTGCTGCTATACCCCTGAAACACAGCTAAGCTGCCACTCTAAAAAGAGAAGAGCGAATATTCTCCTGAATCTGGTTATCTGTCTCTGGTGACAGCTCAGAAACACACAAACTCTGTGTTAAGAAAACTAAGAAGTTGGGCAGTGCCTGTGGCTCAGTGAGTAGGGCGCCGCCCCCATATACCGAGGGTGGCGGGTTCGAACCCAGCTCGGGCTAAACTGCAACAAAAAAATAGCTGGGCGTTGTTGGTGGGCACATGTAATCCCAGCTACTTGGGAGGCTAAGACAAGAGGATCGCTTGAACCCAAGAGTTTGAGATTGCTGTGAGCTGTGATGTCATAGCACACAACCCCAGAGTAACTGAGACTCTGTCTCAAAAAAAAAAAAAAAAATTTCCACAATCAAGTTATTAAAATACATATAAATATAAGACATAATTTCAAAATGCCCCCCCCCAACCATGATCACAGGGAGGGACCTGTGAATATGGTGGGATATTATTCCTGTGATTAGGTTACTTTACCTGGCACAGTAAACTTTAAGAATGGGAATTATCTTTGCTAGACCTAACCTAATCAGGTGAGTTCTTAAAAGGATTGGGACTCTTCTGGAGGAGATTCCAAATATAAGTATAAAGGGTTGGCGCCGGCCCATATACCGAGGGTGTGGGTTTGAACCTGGCCCCAGCCAACTAAAACAGCAGTGGTAACTGCAACAAAAAATAGCCGGGCATTGTGACAGATGCCTGTAGTCCCAGCTACTTGGGAGGCTGGGGCAAGAGAATCTCTTAAGCCCAAGAGTTGGAGGTTGCTGTGAGCTGTGACATCAAAGCACTCTACTGAGGGAGACAGAGATAGACTCTGTCTCAAAAAAAAATAAAAAGCATGGCTCGGCACCTGTGGCTCAAGCGGCTAAGGTGCCAGCCACATACACCTAAGGTGGCGGGTTCGAATCCAGCCC